TCCCATTACCTAGTGCCTCCTTTCCATCAATTCCTCTTCCTCTCCCACTATCATTTTCTGAATGCTATCACCATCAACTAGTTTTGTCTGTTCATAGAATTCATATAAATGGGATCATACAGTATGTATTTTCTTGTATGTGTGTCTGACTTATTTGGCTTAATGTTTCTGGAATTCTTCCCTGTTTTTTTGCATGTATCAGTTCCTTTTTATTGCTGAGTGGTTTTGATGAGCCTATTCCGGTTGAGGGGCTGCCTGATTCGAACATCGTTCTTTGCTCAAGTAAACTCTGTTAAATTTAATTTTGTCTAACGTTCTTCTTTTAACAATTAAGTAATGTACATTCTAATACCACAGTGCCTGGCTCATAGTAAGTGCTCAATAAATGCTAGCTAGGATTGCCATTCTTTTTTTTTTTTTCAATACAGGGTCTTGCTCTGTTGCCCAGGCTGGAGTGCAGCCACACGATCACGGCTCACTGTAGCCTCAAACTCCCAGACTCAGGCAACTGTTTTGCCTCACTCTTCTGAGCAGCTGGGACTACAGGTGTGCACCACCACATCTGGTGAATTTTTGTATTTTTTGTAGATACAAGGTTTCATCGTGTTGCCCAGGCTGGTCTCAAACTCCTGAGCTTGAGTGATCCACCCACTTGGCCTTCCAAAGTTCTGGAATTACAGGTGTGAGCCATCATGCCCCGCCGATTGCCATTCTTTTAATTAGCAGTAATGAGCAAGTTTCCTAGAATGCCAAACACACACCTTCAACACACTTTTGAGTTGCTTTAGGCTTTTTGGCTATTATAAATAAAATGGCTATGGACATTTATGTACAAATCTTATTTATTTATTTATTTTTGAGATGGAGTTTCACTCTGGTTGCCCAGGCTGGAGTGCAATGGCAAGATCTTGGCTCACTGCAACCTCTGCCTCCTAAGTTCAAGCGATTCTCCTGCCTCAGCCTCCCGAGTAGCTGGGATTACAGGCATGTGCCACCACGCCCGGCTAATTTTGCATTTTTAGTAGAGATAGGGTTTCTCCATGTTGATCAGTCTGGTCTCGAACTCTTGACCTCAGGTGATCCACCCGCCTTGGCCTCCCAAAGGGCTGGGATTACAGGTGTGAGCCACTGCACCCAGCCTCAGGTACAAATCTTCATGTTTTTCTTGCTCTTGTGTAGTAGCTAGGGGTGGATCTGGTAAAATATTCAGAAATGAAATTACTGGGTCATAAGGTAGATATGCATGTTTAAAATTATAAGCAACTACTAACTGGTCCTCTAAAGCAGTGGTACCATTTTATGCTCCTATCAGCAGCTTAGAAGAATTCCAATTGCTCTCTACATCCTCACCAACACTTATGTCAGTCTTTTTAATTTTAGCCTTTCCAATGGTACCTTATCATGGATTTAATTAGCATTTCCCTGAGGACTAATTATGTTGAGTAGCTTTTCAGGTGTTTAGTGACCATTTGTATATGCTTTTTGGTCATTAAAATTTTTTTTTTAATTGTTAATTTACAAGAATTCTTTTTTTTTTTTTTTTGAGAAAAGTTTCGCTCTGTCGCCCAGGCTGGAGTGCAGCGGCCGGATCTCAGCTCACTGCAAGCTCCGCCTCCCGGGTTTACGCCATTCTCCTGCCTCAGCCTCCTGAGTAGCTGGGACTACAGGCGCCCGCCACTTCGCCTGGCTAGTTTTTTGTATTTTTTTAGTAGAGACGGGGTTTCACCGTGTTAGCCAGGATGGTCTCAATCTCCTGACCTCGTGATCCGCCCCTCTCGGCCTCCCAAAGTGCTGGGATTACAGGCTTGAGCCACCGTGCCCGGCCTACAAGAATTCTTTATATATCAAGATGATCTTTTCATTAGGTATTTTTCCTTTAAAAAACAGCTTTATTGAGATGTAATTCACACACCATACAATTTACCCACTTAAAATTCAATCGTTTTTAATATATTTCACAGAATCGTGCAATTATTAGTACAATCAATTTTAGAACATTTTCATCACCCCCAAAAGAAACCCCGTACCCTTTAACAGGCATTCATCTTTCCCTCCCATCTACCTAACCCCTAGCCCTGTGCAACCACTAGTCTACTTTCTGTCTATAGATTTGCTTATTCTGGACATTTCCTATAATTAGAATCATGCTATATGTCGTCTTCTGTGAGTGGCTTCTTTCATTTAGTATGATGTTTTCAAGCATCATCCATGTTGTAGCATAAATCAGCACTTAATTCCTTTTTATTTGCCAAATATTATTCCAGTGTATGGATGTACCACATTTTATTTATACTTTCATAAATTGATGGACATTTGGCTTATTTCTACTTTTTGGCTATTAGGAATAATACTGGTATGAACATTTGTGCACATTTGTGTGTGTGTGGTCAGGGGGCATATGCTTTCATTCTCTTAGGAGTGGAATGGATGGGTTATATGGTAACTCTATATCTAACTTTTTGAAGAACTTCCAGATTGTTTTCCAAAGTGATTGTATCATTTTATATTCTCACTAGCTGTGTACAGGGTCAGAATCTTTAAAAAATGTAGGTCTGTTCGGCTGGGCGCGGTGGCTCACACGCCTGTAATCCCAGCACTTTGGGAGGCTGAGGTAGGCGGATCACAAGGTCAGGAGATCAAAATCATTCTGGCTAACACGGTGAAACCCCATCTCTACTTAAAAAAATACAAAAAAATAGCCGGGCGTGGTGGCGGGGGCCTGTAGTCCCAGCTACTCGGGAGGCTGAGGCAGGAGAATGGTGTGAACCCGGGAGGCAGAGCTTGTGAGCCATGATTGTGCCACTGCACTCCATCCAGCCTGGGTGACCGAGCGAGACTCTGTCTCGTTAAAAAAAAAAACAAAAAAAAAACGGTAGGTCTGTTCATAAAGTGCCTACTACATAGGGTCGTTGTAGGGATTATTTGTTAGATATTTTTCTTACAAGAGAATTTTGCCTACCCCAAGGTCAGGAAGATATCTTCCATCTTCTAGAGTGTTTGTGGTTCTGAATTTCATGTTTAGGTTATGATCCATCTTGAACTAACTTTTGCCTGTATAGTATAAGGTAGAAATTGAGGGTCATTTTTTTTTTTTTTTCCCAGTACAGTATTCAGTTGTTCTAGCAGAATCTGCTCACAAATTTTATTTTCTCCACTGAATTGAATTGGTGTTTTGGTCAAAAATCAGTTGACCATCTATGCGTGAGTTTATTTCAGGACTCTATTCTGTTCCATTGATCTATTGTCTCCCCTTACGAAGAACCACATTGTTTTGATTACTGTGGCTTTATAGTAAATACTAAGGTCAGGAGGAATACATTTTCCAGCTGGGCTCTCCTTTTCTAAAATTTTCTGGCTATTCTAGATTGTTTGCATTTCCAGATAAGTCTTAGAACCAGTCTGTCAGTTTCTTTAAAAATATCTGCTGGGGCCGGGTGCAGTGACTCACGCCTGCAGTCCCAGCACTTTAGGAGGTTGAGGCTGGTGATTGCTTGGGCTCAGGAGTTGGAGTCCAGCCTGGGCAACGTGGTGAAACCCCCTCGCTACAAAAAAATACAAAAATGAGCTTGGTGTGGTGGCACACTTGTAGTCCCAGCTACTAGGGAGGCTGAGGTGGGAGGATTGCTTGAGCCCAGGAGGAGGCTGCAGTGAGCCATGATTGTGTCACTGCACTCCAGCTTGGGTGACAGAATGAGATCCTGTCAAAAAAAAAAAAAAGCTGGAGTTTTGATAGGGATTGTGTTGAATCCATATATATACACATATATATCTCTCCACTTATTCTGAACTTGGATGTATTTCAGCTGGGATTTCAACATATTTTTCAGTCTTGCACATCTTTTGTTACATTTATTTCTATGTATTTGATGTTGTTTCTGTTATTTAATATTGCTGTTGTATTTCTGGTTTTCCAGTTTTTTTTGTTGCCAGCATGTAGAAATGCAATTAATTATTTTTTTTGAGACGGAAATGCAATTTTTTTTTTTTTTTTTTGAGACGGGGTCTCGCTCTGTCGCCCAGGCTGGAGTGCAGTGGTGCGATCTCGGCTCACTGCAAGCTCCGCCTCCGGGGTTCACGCCATTCTTCTGCCTCAGTCTCCCGAGTAGCTGGGACTACAGGCGCCCGTCACCACGCCCGGCTAATTTTTTGTGTTTTTTTTTTAGTAGAGACGGGGTTTCACCGTGTTAGCCAGGGTGGTCTTGATCTTCTGACCTCGTGATCTGCCCACCTCGGCCTCCCAAAGTGCTGGGATTACAGGCGTGAACCACCGCACCCGGCCTAAATGCGATTAATTTTTGTTGTGTATTTATTTTGCACCCTGCAACCTTGTTCAGTTTATTAGTTCTATATTTGTTGTGTTTTGGTAGATTACATCCCTAAGGCCCTGCTACTCTGGACTTTCATGATGGAGATGGTAATAGGAACTGTATTAAGAAGGAATGTAGGGATTTACAGTGAGCTGTGTTTAATTTATGGTGTTTGGGCCGCACCCGAAACACATTAGAACAGTCTTTGGAGGAGGGAGGCGGGGTGGGTGCGGCATCCTGTATTTTTACAGTTGGAGATTCTAAAACTGCAGTTGTGAACTCTTGATTTAGGTGCCAAGCGGCACGCCGAAAGGCCACTCCCCTGAGAGGATCAGGGCCGGATGACCTGGGCACCGCGGTCACGCCGAGGCCCCCACTCTTCTCCTCCTTGGGAAAGGGCAGACAAGTTCCGGGTTCCCTTCTAGGTCCGGGCGAGGGGGAGGAGAGCGCCCCGCAGACAACAGGCGCCTCCTGCCTCTCTCCTTCAATAAACAGTCCGCAGTAACTGCCGTCCCGGCCGGCCTCCCGGCGGACACACCTGTTTACCCTTCACCACCGGACGGCCGGGAGGCGCCACGACGACCCCAGCCCCGCCCAGGCTTCTCCGGGATGGACCCGCCTCCTGGGCCACAGATGAGGATCCTGACCCGCGGAGGGGCCCCTGGCCTGACCCTTTTCCCCTCGCCCTTTCAGGTATCCGGAAATTAAAGAGGAGCTGGAGGAGCTGGACCGCATCACACAGCAGACGCTCTTTGACCTGTACAAATACGACTCCTCCGCCACCCTCGTGGCCGGCTCCCGCGGCCGTCGCGACCTGCGGGGCACTCTGCCGCACCCCTTGCAGCGCCTGAGGGTCCCGTCCCCGCTTCACGGGGCCCGTCAAGCCCGTAGCGCCGCCTCCAGCGTGCGGGACAACAACCCCCAAGTGGACTGGAAGGACTGGAAGATCGGTTTCCAGCTGGTGAGGCCCGCAGAGCCGAGGGGCCCGCCCCGCCCCTCGCCGGCCCCTGTCCCCGCCCTCCCGTGGGCTCCGCTCCTTTCCGGACCCGCCTGCGCAGCCCACCGACACCACGTGGGGTCTGGTGGGCTCGCGGGCAAAACAATAAGTAAATAAATACACATAACAACTAGATAATTAAAGTAACACCTGTTGGTGCCCCAGCTTTTGGGGCCTCTTCCCTGGGGTCCTGTGTAGAAACGTTTCAGGGGTAGGAAGTCAAATTTATGGAAAATGCACTTTTTTTTATTATTATTATTATTATTATTATTATTATTATTATTATTATTGTTTTACTGTTTCTGGTCCTTGATTCAGGAAGGAAAATGCAACTTTCTGAATTCCAGTCCCCACTAGTGGGACACAGTTGGGACCCTCCAGCGTGGTGGAGAACTGGGCTAACAGCCCAAGATAGAGAAGAAGGAGACAATAAAAAAAGGAAACTTAGCTGGGCGCGATGGCTCATGCCTGTAATCCCAGCACTTTGGGAGGCCGAGGCGGGTGGATCACCTGAGGTCAGGAGTTCAAGACCAGCCTGGCCAACGTGGTGAAACCCCATCTCTACTAAAAATACAAAAATTAGCCCGGCTTGGTGGCACGCACCTGTAATCCCAGCTACTCGGGAAACTGAGCCAGGAGAATCGCTTGAACCCAGGAGACAGAGGTTGCAGTGAGCCGAGATCGAGCCACTGCCCTCCAGCCTAGGCGACAGAGCAAGACTCCATCTCAAAAAACAAACAAAAGAAAGGAAACTTAATTTTTTTTTTGAGACGGAGTTTCGCTTTTATTGCCCAGGTTGGAGTGCAATGGCGTGATCTCGGCTCACTGCAACCTCCACCTCCCGGGTGCAAGCGATTCTCCTGCCTCCATCCTGAGCAGCTGGGATTACAGTCATGCACCACCATGCCTGGCTAATTTTTTATATTTTTAGTAGAGACAGGGTTTCTCCATGTTGGTCAGGCTGATCTGGAACTCCTGACCTCAGGTGATCCACCCGCCTCGGCCTCCTGAAGTGCCCTATTACAGGAGTGAGCCACCGCACCTGGCCCAAATTTTTTTTTTTTTTAATATAAAATGAGGCTGGGCGTGGTGACTCCCGCCTGTAATCCTAGCACTTGGGAGGCCAAGGCGTGCAGATCACCTGAGCACAGGAGTTTTAGACCAGCCTGGGCAACATAGTGAAACCCCATCTCTACAAAAATATACAAAAAGTAACCTGTGTGCTGGCACAAGCCTGTAGTACCAGCTACTCAGGAGGCTGAGATGGGAGAATCGCTTGAACTCGGGAGATGGAGACTGCAGTGAGCCTTGATCACACCACTGCACTCCAGCTGAGTGACAGAATGAGCCCCTGTCTGCCAAAAAAAAAAAAAAAGAGAAAGAAAGAGAGAGAGAGAGAAAGAAAGAAAAAGAGAAAGAAAGAAAGAAAGAAAGAGAAAGAAAGAAAGAAAGAAAAGAGAGAAAGAGGGAGGGAGGGAAGGAGGGAGGACCCAAGGAAAGGAGATAGGGAGGTTCCCACTAGTAAGAGTGGGCTGGGGACTAGAGTTCTAGTCCCAGCTCTTGCTGGAACAAATCTGTTGATCCCTCAGTCTTCCCATCAGTGAAATGGGAGGGAAAGTCTTGCTCCTCCCTGCGCCCCCCCAGCAGGGGAGGTATAAATGAACCCAAACTGTGTGTATGCAGCTGCTGGTCTCCTTCCTGGCCGGCAACTCCCTTAATCCCATGCTCTCCTGGTCCATGCTCCTGGGGACTTCTGCTTCTCTTCCACTTCTGTCTTTCCCCGCTCCTGGCTTCCGACCCCGTCCATCAGTCCTCAGAACCCCAGATCACTCATTCTTGGCCCCTGGCCCTGCCAAGGGGCTTATCCACAGCTGCGTTTCCCCTCTGACTCTGGTCTCTGTGTCCAGTGCAACCAGAACAAATCAGACTGCTTCTACCAGACATACTCATCAGGGGTGGATGCAGTGAGGGAGTGGTACCGCTTCCACTACATCAACATCCTGTCGAGGCTGCCAGAGACTCTGCCATCCCTGGAGGAGGACACACTGGGCAACTTCATCTTCGCCTGCCGCTTCAACCAGGTCTCCTGCAACCAGGCGTGAGTCAGTCTTGCCTGACTCCTTGCTCTCCTCAGGGTCCCCTTCCCTGGGTCAGCCTCACGCCCTGCATGGGCAGGGCCCAGGAAATGCTCGTTGACTAAAAAAATGCCAGTGCCGGCAGGCCAGGGGGAAGCACTGGCTTCGGGCCCACACCCTGCCCCAGAGTGCCCTGTGAACTCCTGCTGCTCCCTGCACTGCTGGATCTGAGGGAAGTGGCCTCACAGGATAACTTGGGAAGACTGGGGCTTTGAGAAACCAAAGGCTGGCAGCATGGGTCTTGGGTCTTATTTTTTTTTTTGAGATGGAGTTTCACTCTTGTTCCTCAGGCTGGAATGCAATGGCGTGATCTCGGCTCACTGCAACCTCCACCTCCCAGGTTCAAGCGATTCTCCTGCCTCAGCCTCCCGAGTAGCTGGGATTACAGTCATCCGCCACCACGCCTGGCTAATTTTTTTGTATTTTTAGTAGAGACGGGGTTTCTCCATGTTGGTCAGGCTGGTCTCCAACTCCCGACCTCAGGTGATCTGCCCGTCTTGGCCTCCCAAAGTGCTGGGATTACAGGTGTGAGCCACCGCGCCTGGCCAGTGTCTTGGTCTTTCTAAGGCCCTTTTCTCCCTAGCATCAAAGCTCAAAAGGGCCTAGGAGGTCGTCTGTCCCATACTCTGCTCCCGGAGCTGAGGCTGGCAGTAGTAGTGAGGTGGAGTTGCATGGGTTGAGGGACTCCCACTCTAGCTCTGTCAGTTGCTGGCCAGGTGACTCTGGACGTATCATATCATTCTTCAGAGCCTATTTCTTTGATTGCAAAATGGAAGTAAAACAAAAAATGAGATTCGTTCAATATTCATTCAACAAATAGTTTTGACTATCTGGCTATGTGCCAGTCACTGTTCTAGACATTTGGGCTACATCAAAGGAAAAACTACATAATTCGTGCCCCTTTGGCGCTTTTACTCAAGTGGTGAAGACGATGACAATAACACTCATCTCAAGAACTGCAGCAAGTGCGAGATACAAACGTGAGGGCACTTTACATTACAGACCCTGGTAAATGATGGGTTTCATTACTCTTGTACTCAAACAAGTGAAGTGACTTGCCCTTGGGAATGGGCTGGCCCTGGCTACGGATTCTTCCCACCCCACCGCCCCTCGGGCATTCATTCTGTGAGGACCCCTGTTATAATGTCCTTGCAGTGAGCTCATAGCAGCTGCAGGTTCTCTGATGGCTGGGAGAGGCTGAGGCAAGGGGGGTCCCCTTCTATAACCTCTGGCCCCCTCCTGCCCTGGCTCCTCCTTCTCCTGCTCATTGATTTTCCGGAGCCATCTCCCTGCCTCCGCCTGGCTCCACTCTACAGGGGGCGTTCCCTCCCCTGTTGCTGAAGAATGGCCACAGGGCACGGTGTCACTTCTCACCCTTCACACACACTCTGCCAGTACACGATTTTGTTCCGTCTTTAGTCTTTTTGTTTGTTTAAGGACAGAAACTACCAGCTGGGAAGTAAGACGGTAGCAACGCCTAAGCCTGAGTCAGCCCACACCTGCCACCAGGATCATCTAACCATTACTCGGGCACCTGTGCTTTTCCTATGCCCTCATCCGCTGCCCTCCCTTTGCTCTGTGTGCCTGCCTCCCCATCAACAGAAAGTCCATGGTTCATCTTTGTCTTGGCACTTAGGCACTTAGATCAGCTCAGAGCCTCAATTCTCGCTTGGGTTGTTATACCCACCCCTCCACCCTACTGTGTTCTTCTGCCTCCAAATCATCCCTTCCTTCTGCAACCACAGGAATCTTTGTACTTCATCCTTACTTCACGTCACCACACGTCACTATTCCAGTTAGTCCTGTGTGTTAGCCCATTTTGTGTTGCTATAAAGGAATATCTCACTGGGCGTGGTGGCTCCAGCCTGTAATCCCAGCACTTTGGGAGACTGAGATGGGTGGATCACCTGAGATCAGCCCGACCAACGTGGTGAAACCCCGTGTCTACTGAAAATATAAAAATTAGCCAGGTGTGGTGGCACGCACCTGTGGCCTCAGCTACTCAGGAGGCTGAGCCAGGAGGATCGCTTGAACCCAAGAGGATGGAGGTTGCAGTGATGCTGAGATCACACCACTGCACTCCAGCCTGGGCAGACAGAGCAAGACCTCCCATGTGGAAAAAAAAAAAAAAAGGAAATATCTGAGTCCTGGTAATGTTATAAACGAAAAGAGGTTTAATGGCTGAGGGTTCTGCAGGTGGTACAAGCATGGCAACCAAGCCTCTGCTCAGTTCTGGGAGACTCAGGAAACTTACCATCCCACCTGGTGGAAGGGGGGAGGGGGCAAGAAGAAGAGACCCAGCTCTGAACTAATTAATACGTCGTGAAGAATTCACCTCATGTACGCATAGGAGGGCACCAAGCCTTCAAACGAGAGGCCCGCCCCTTGACCCAAACACCTCCCACCTAGGATCACCCTCCAACATTGGGGATCAATTTCAACATGAGAATTGAGAGGAGGCAAACAATCCAAACTATTCCTCTGTTTACAAAAAATCGTATCCAGTGATCTCTCATAGGCCTCCAGCTTGATGCTGGAGGCCATGAGAGACACCTGAACGATTTTAAACAGCAGGATATGTTATTGGATGTTTGCCTCCTCCAAATCTCCATGTTGAAATGTGAATCCCCAATGTTGGAGGGGATCCTAGTGGAGTGTTCTTGGGTCACAGGGGCGGGCCTCTCTTGAATGGCTTGGTGCCCTCCTTGGCAGTAACTGAGTGAATTCCTAACTATAATTAGTTCAAGAGCCTGGTCTCTCTCTCTTGCCCCCTCTCCTCCCCTTCCACCCATGGGTAAGTTTCCTGAGTCCTCCCAGAAGCTGGAGCAGATGCTGGTGCCATGCTTGTACCACCTGCAAGAACCCTCAGCCAATTAAACCTCTTTTCTTTATAAATTACCCAGACTCAGATATTCTTTTTTTTTTTTTTTTCCCAACCATGGAGTCTTGCTCTGTTGCCCCAGGCTTGGAGTGGCAGTGGGTGTGATCTCACCCCTCCACTTGGCAACCTCCACACCTCTTGGGTTCAGCGTCCTCCTGGCCAGCCTCCTGGGTAGCTGGCCACCAGGTGCGTGCCACCACACCCTGGCTAATAGTTTTTATATTTTTCAGTAGACACCGGGTTTCACCACGTTGGTCGGGCTGATCTCAGGTGATCCACCCATCTCAGTCTCCCAAATGCCTGGCGATACAGGCTGCAGCCACCACCCAGGGATACTTCCTTTTAGCAAACCAAAATGGGCTAACACACAGGACTAACTGGATAGTGACGTGGTGGTGACGTGAGTATTGGATGAAACAAAGATTCCTGTGTGTCAGAGGAAGGGTGATTTGGGAGCGCAGGAACACAGTAGGGTGGAAAGGGGTGGGGTATAAAACCCAAGCGAGAACTTGAGGCTCTGAGCTGATCTAAGTGGCTCTAAGTGCCAAGACAAAGATGAACCATGAGACCTTTCTGTTTGATGGGGGGAGGAGAGCAAGGGGGCCAGCGGATGAGGGCACTAGGAAACCACAGGTGCCGGTTGGTTAGGATTATCTGGTGGCAGGTGGTGGCCTTACTCAGGCTTAGGCGTTGCTACCGTTCTTACTTCCGAAAAAAAAAAAGAAAACATGGTAAGTTTCTTCCTTAACAAACAAAAACTAAAACCGGAACAACAATCGTGTACTGGCAGAGTGTGTTGTGAAGGGTGAGAAGTGGCACCGTGCCACCTGTGGCCATTCTTCAGCAACAGTGAGGAACGCCCCCTGTACGAGTGGAGCCAGGCGGGCAGG